GGAGTCAAACGCTCAGTAGCTGGCAACACTCCTACGACATCTCTGGCGTTGCTGGTAAGAACTACTAGTTTGGTTGCCACCACTTTGTACTATAAAAATTATTCACCTTTCTATTATGTATTATACATGCACATATGTAACATAAATGTGTTCATAAAAATGTGTTCTCATTGAAGATTATTTTGATATACGAAAGTAATGGTGTACCAATTTATTGTCAAAAAAGATCAATTCATTTTTATTTAATAGCTTTATTATCTTTTTACTCTATAGAGAGGTCCTTAATAATAGTGATTTGTTTTGCATGTAATAATAAAATTTACTTGTATTCTATTAATTTTAATTCGTGTTGATTAGTTCTACTATGGTTAATTAAAATATAATTTATGTTATTTTAAATTATCGAATTGTATTAAATATCAAGTTACGCAGTTTTACTTAGGAATAAACAAGGGTTTGTTAATTTATTTATTTAGGACCGAGATCTAGAAGCAATTTTATTGCAATGCGACACCAGTGTCAAGTGTTTGTTCATAAATGATTGCAATGTATAACTATTATCATTAACGATTACTTACAGAGTTCACAGTAGCAACGGATTTAATTTAAATATTGATGAATGTAAAGTAAACAAAACGCTATCGAACGCTGTAATTTGGATCGCCGCCAAAGTTTCAAAGATCATAATCTTAGTATCAGCGAGAGATCAAAGAAAGACAATTAACAATAATAAATCGCATCCATTTAAAAAATACAAGTATTTTTATGAAAAATAACCAGTCATTTCCTATTTGAAACGCGAGTTGTTTTTATGTTTTCGTTTTGATTTAACGAGTGTAAAAACAAGCTTTGAGGGTTATTGTAATAAAGTATTGATGGTTTGAAAACACTCATTAGGCGGGAAAAAATGTTTTGAGTTTCTGTTCCATTTAAAATTGTTCTCCGATGCTTATGATATACTTCACAGCAAAGTTAATTCACTTCAAAATTGAATTAACTACCAAACAATTGAACAAAGTAACACATACATTCTCTTAAAGAACCAGTTCTCACTACACTGTTACTTTAAAATTAATTTTACTTTTTCGATTCTATATATTATAATGAATTTTAAACTTCATAACTGTTTTTATGCGTTCAACAATCTTTATTTTTATTTTTTGTCTATTATTAAGAACCTCACCAAGATTTTAGGAAAAAGATTTTACAAAATACACATGCATATCTTTATTTCAACTTTTAACGTATTCGTAAAAAAGTAGACGTCTTGCTTTTAGATGTCATCTATGTATGGTTGACCGGTACTTTACCGGTCAATGACGCTTAAAACATTCTTGCAAAATACCTACCTTCATTTTCATATCGTAATATTTATATGTTAAAATCTATTTACAGCGTGATTATCCTAGTTATTAACCTAAAGGTTTACCTAGTGAAGTGCAGGTTCGATACGTAATCAATTCACTTTATGTTAAAAATACAATTTATGACAAGAGTTTTAATAAGAGAAAAAATTTAAGATCTGTATATAATAAATGTCATGCTACGGATCCTATTACTATTTCTATCAGGTGATATAAATAGTAATAGGACATCGTAACTAGGTAGTTACGATGAAATATGCCAAGACTGGAGTTTCAATGAATTCCTAAATCAAAATACACTTTAATTATACAGGCTGTTGTAGCCTAACTAAGAAATGTTACACAATAGGGTAGACGAAATTGTAACAAGTCCGTAGTCTAATATTTTATTACAAACGTTAATTGCTGGATTTCTGTTTTGAAATGTTAAATAGAAAACAAAATAACACCATCTACTGTCATATAAAAGTTTTTTTTAATGTTTATGTATAACGTTTCGTTTTGTTTTCTAATACTAATAAAGAAAATTAATAAACTCATATCGTGCACCGTCGTGATAATGGAACGTAATGAATAAATAAACCTTAAGATTTAAATACTGGTAGGAGTTTTTTCTTTCATTAAGAACATTGATACTTAAGCATAAATCCTTTGATAATTGCCAGAAATGAAAATGTAAGAAGTCTTTGGTTGTATTACGATATAGAAGTATTATAAAATACATAATACAAATGAAGATTTTACACGACTTTTACAAACATAAACTATTATAAAACAATAGAAAATATTTCTCATCCTTTGATTATAGATTTTATAATTTTTACCCTCCATTAATTGATGAAAAACAAAATGGAAGCGTAATGACGGGAATTATAGACTGACACAAATCCTTTGTAATTGGGTATTATACTAATACCTTTTGGAATATTAGAACATAAAGAAAATTATTAATGGATTTTCAGAAAATATTGGCAATTTTACATAGAATAACCGATAATTTATAATGTAAAGGGCGTCTAACGAAATTTATTAGAGACTATTTCCGACCCAAATTAAGAACAGGTTATTATATAGTTCAAATTTTCTAATACAAGAAGTTGTAAACGCTGTCAACCATTTAATAAAAGAAGTTACTGTTAATTCATCTTTTCATTCATTGTTAACAACATCGGCTAAAATGCAAAGTCGTGCTTCAGTTCTTCTGCGTATCTCCTGTTCATACTCTATTTAATGTCTACTTATTTGGAAGTTTGAAAGATGGTAAGATGTGAGAGATATGTATTCTTATAAATTAGAAACGCTTTAAAAGTTAAATATTTCGTGTTTAGCCCGCATAAATTTCATCTCCCAGTCATAGTCTTAGATATTTACGTGGCAGTGACAATCGGGGATGTCAGATCTCGGATTTGCGATCAAAGCTCCGTACGGAGCGTAGTGGTGTGCTTCTATTGACTTTGATAATATTTGCATGCTATTTGTAATGCATGTAACTTGTTAATACCCAGTTCAATGGCGATTAATTTTGGATTTTTGAACCTTAAAAAAACCTGCTAAATTGGTATACTGTATCCTACGCGCTTCTGTCTATTATCCCATTAGGATTAAACGATGTGACAGTTCGCGATGACAATATTGAACTTTAAAAATGATCGCGTGGTTTCCAATCATAAAGATTCAATAAGCCTTTAATTAAATTTTTCTGCAATTTAATTCCACAACGATTTACAATAGTAAGTCTATAGTGAGCCAGTGTATATTAAGTAATTAGCAGAGAATTGTTAAAATCGTTTATACACGAATGGATTGTTGTGTTAACCGAGTTTGTTTTCTATATGAATCACGTTCACATACATTGTTCGACGATCGCGTGAGCCGCCCCAATAATGGTTAAGGAGGTTGGGTGTGGCCACATAATAGTGCGTAGAGTCCAAACTTTTGTTGTTTCTCTTACAATATTACCGTAATACAAAGAACAGATTTCAGGTAAAAGTGTAATAAAAGTAATAAGAAAAGACGGAACGTTCGCATTAAAACTTTGCGCACTGGACGTCTTTCGGGAATAATTCTTAAAACTCAGATGATGACCAACTATATTAATACATTTCAATCCTATCGGCAATGTTGCTTTAAAAATAAAAATTCTATTAAATTGTAACAGTGGTTACTATAAAAATTTACGAACCATAGTATCTAACACGTACAAAGAAATATCTATTAATTTAGATTACAGTATCTTTTACGCACAGATGTAATACTACTAATAATAATAATCAGCCTTGTAAGCCGGTGCTATTCTTTCATAAAAGCTTTTAACGGTTTAATGTAGACTACATTTAAAAAAATGAAAAGAAATTGAATGGCCAAGTAACGTAATCAAGACCACTCCTAAAGAGATACGTCGGGTATTTGCGAAAAATGAAAGCGATTTTTGCACTTTTCACTATCAGGGATCCTTTTCAAATGTACACCATCGAATTGGCGTATTTTAAATACATATTGAGATTTAAACGGATGAACGCGGTTTCTTTTTCAATCCATTGTTAAAGCGTGTATTTTTAAGGTCGAATTTTTTTTTTTCGGATAACGAGCGATCGACTTTATAAATGCATAACCGAAATAAAAAGTATGGTGAACAACACGGCCAGATCGATTACAGCATTTTTTACATATATAATATGGTCTTAGATGGAAATTAAAATGTAGTTTAAAACTAACAATTAAAACGGTAGAAACTAAAGGTCCTTTCGATTGAATTTCTTTTATATTTAGTGACTAAAATATTCGAGATAGGTTGCCTATATATTTAATCAGAATTAGTCAGTAATAAAAAATATGTTTGGTAATAATTAATTCTTAAAAATACAAATATTTTTTTGTGCCAATTTTATATTATTTTTGGGAATTAAGTTGACGCTATTAAAAAAGTATTAAAACAATTGAAATGATTTATAAAATAAATATTTTGATGTTATTTAAATAAATATAATTTATCTTTACATTAATTACAGTTAATTAAAAAAGCAATATATTATTTAATTTAATGGATGGTCAATTAAAACTTATTACACATTTGAACTTTCAGAAGTAGAGAAATAATTTTAAGAAAAGATTTTGCAATATTTCCAAACTTTAACAATAAATATTACATGTTATATTAATTTTTGCGAAATTCTTAAAATATTTTATTAGCTACGGATATTTACAATAAAATGAATATAAGATTACTCAACAACTTATTTTTTTTTTCCTTAAATATTTTGAAATTATTCAACGTAGAGGTTCTTTTTCCTGCGCATAAATTATAAACAATAACTATACTATATATTACTATTATTTTAAAAAGAAAATATTTTAAAATTTATAAATAATTTTAGTTATTTTTTCACATGACTAACCCGTCGCTTACTTCAATTAATTATAGGTACCTAAATAAATACACAATATTATAATATCAAAAAAATAAAAGAAATAATTGGCAATAGAATCATTTTATATCCACCACGAAAACGATAAACAAGCGAAAATAATTGCTTTTTCAAACCTGTATTTATTTCTTCTTTCATTTAAATTAATTTATGTAACCAACCTAATTAATTTTCTCTAAAAAAACGTGTCGAGCACAATAGCCGCACTCACCATTGAAGGAATCGCTGATTCCTATAAGAGTGGCACAATTTGTTGAAAGCACAACATTATCGTCAACGTACACTAGCGAACATGTGTTCCACAGCACAGCGGGCGCGGTTTTACCGCACGACGCGTCCGTCCTACGCGGCGGGCTGCCTGCCTCTGGACGCCCGGAGCGGACCCCCCCTACCCCTCCCACCCCATCGCCACCACCCGGGGTTCCCATAAAAATATTTATTTCGCGACCGTATTGCGCAATGCATAAATTTCGAAAGGCAGCCCGAATGCATTCGTGTCCGAAATTCCCCGTCGATCCGTCAACACCGCACCGCGCCGAAGGCGTCGCGTTCGAATTTCAAATGCCATCATCAAACTGTACCAAGTCACCCTTTGAAGTGAGGGGAAATAATGAGATTTAATTAAAAGGTGTGCCGAGTCGTCGCGCTGCTATGAAACTGAAGGAGACGGAATTAAAATGTGGCACTTTTTGCATTCGTAATCAGGAAATTTATTTGTTAAAGTCGACTTAGTCCGTACATAAAAATAATGTCTTTGTGTTGCGGCTGGATATTTTACAGTTATTCATTTATGCACATGGCTTTTCGGTGTTTTATTGTTTATATCTATAGCTAAGTTACACTACAGTCCTTACAATATACATTAGAAAAGGTTTTGTTAAGTACGCTTTAAGTAATGTTGTATACTTACCACAAAAAGTTTTTTCCTCTAGGCCTCTCTTTCGGACTGGATGTGATCTCTACTGACCCAAAGACTCAGTTGGTATCTATCCACAACTGTGCAGTCGTCCGTGTACGTATAGTCACCGGGCATGAACAGATCGTCGATATGCAGCAAGAAAAGAGTTGCGGAAAGGACGGAACCCTGAGGAACTGCGGCATTAGTGGTCAGTGGCTCGTATGAATAGCCTTCGACGACTACCCGGAGAGACCGCTCACTCAAAAAGTCTTTCACCCAACCGATTAGGCCAGGAGATATGCCATACGCTGGAAGCTTGCTGAGGAGGCTGACATGCCAGAACCTTTCAAAGGCCTTCGAGATATCTAGGAAAACCGCAAGTGCTTCACCATTATTTCTCGAGGGCCTCGCCTCAAAAGTGAGTGGCGTCACTAGAAGGTCCCCAGTTGACTGATTTCTCCGAAATCCATGAGCCCGGGCGTTCAATATACGCTCCATAGTCTTACAGAGTATGGAGGTAATTGAAATTGGTCTGTAATTGGCAGGATCGGCACGAGTCCTAGTAGAGTTAGGGACTACTCCAGTCTCAAATGAGAGGCGGAACAGACGTTTCAGAACAGGAGACAACTCGGGTGCACAAGCCTTCAGAACTAACGCCGGTATACCGTCTGGTCCAATAACTTTGTTCACATCTAGACTTAATGCTTTTAAAACCTCGCAGTGTTTTATACGAACCTCCGCCATGGAGGTTCCGTAATGAGGGAGTGCAGGAGGTGAATTGCTGCCAGGGTTCAGACGTGAATTTTGGGCAAATAGCGCCAGTCATCCATCCGGTTTTACCAGCGGAGACAGTGATGGCCGACAGAAGTTGGATTAGATCGCTTTTTCAAGAGACCATAAAGCTCTATTGCCAGATGGTTGGGCAGAGAGTTTCGTGCGGATTTGTTGAATGCGGTCGAATCCAGCTCGCCGCAACGTCTTTTTGTAGGACTTAGCGGCCCGGTTAAAGGCTTTCTTCTTCAGGCTAATGTCCGGAGCTATGCGGAGTTTTTTATTTAAACTCAAGCGTGAATAAAGTTTCGTCTGTTGCCATGCGCCGAGCAAAAATCTGTTATACTTATAATAACAATAACACACTTTATTTTACGCCAAAAAAGTTATAAAAAAAGAAAATATTATTTAAATATTGTTCAACGAAACACTACCTTTGCTACACACAAATTTCTTGCAGTAACTCAGTAATTTACCAAAAAGAATTGTTAATGGGTAGGGTATAAATGAAAAGAAATTAAAATAAAATACTGGCTTAGGTATTTAATCGGAAAGGAAAAGCTTTTATACGCCGGTTGACTCCGTGACCTTGAATGAATGAATGTATGAATATACTTAATTGCCCACCAAAATTAAAACTTAATATAGAAGTGATGGGTACAATGGGCGGCCTTATTACTAAGAGTAATTTCTTCCAGGCAACCTTGCATCGTAGCCCTGTCAAAATCGCTCTAGTCATTCCAGAGATTAGCCGGAACAAACAGACAAAAATTGTAAAAAAAAATATTTTGGTATATATGTACCGTGAATGTTAAGACCATAAGCATTTAGTAAATAGGAGTTACTATAATATTACAAACAGACACTCCAATTATGTGTATAGATTGTAAAAATATATAATATCCTGTTTCGATCACTCTTTAAATAGAGAGTAATCTGAGCAACTTTATGCAATTCGATTTCGTTCTAAAAACGACGTAAAGAGATATTACGCGGGCGAGTATATGAATAATGTAAAACGAATTAAACTGAGTTTTCTTTGAGGTTAAAAAAGGCTAAAAGGAGCAAATGTTTTGTCTCCGTCAAAGAGCACAGAATGCGCTGAGCAAGGTAATTCAACTCACTGGAACTGGAAAGCACTTCTGTATAATTTATTCTTAAGAATGATAAGATGTCAACTTACGGTATCCACCGTGGTCGTTTCAAATGATTTCACCTTTTTCGTTTCATTAATTTAATATTGCTTATGTTAATAAACCTACTTGATGATACACATCACAAGTATTTATAAGTTATCACAAGTATGTATAAGTATGTATTGATTTATTTAATAGGTTTGCTCTAAAACAATAATACGCTTGTTTACTCTCAAGACAAGACCCAAATTAGGGTCGTTGATGACTTCCAGTCGGTTTTTATTCAATACCGTATTATACTTAAACATAGTTTTCTTTTGCAAATAAATACACATTATACATATATGAACACCCAGACACTAGAAAAACACTATGCTCATCACGCAATATTTTTCCAGTAGTGGGGATCGAACCCACACCCTCTGGCGCAGAAGGCAGGTACACTACCAACTACGCCGTTCGGGTCGTCAATACTGTACAGCAATAATGTACAGAAAATGAAACAATATATAGTTAAATTGTCATAATTCTTGTTGAAACCACCCGTTTTTATTCATAGCAAGTTAAGGTTATAACTTTAAAATTATAAAACTAAAACAATTCATAATTCTTTATTTAGTATTTGTCGATTGTCCTTACCGTTTGACCCGTTTCTAAAAAGGCCCTATTCTTGTTTCTCTTTTCCATGGACAACATTTAAAGTATTTGTTAAATAGTTATTGAAACGATAAGTTAATAACAGCAAAATACGTACAGGAATTGGAAACTATTTGCTAGTATCAATCTTTTCATTCAATGGTCGTAGTGCTAGTAATGCTTGTTATAAGAAAAAATACCTTAGCACGTCGTCCATCAAAGATTACCGCTTTTACTCAGGTGATAATTATTTCACTTAGTTCAAGTACTCGGCAGATTGTACTAAAAAAAGTTTCTTATATAAAATATCAGGGAGGTAAATTATAAGCCCAATACATGCATTTGTACAAAAATGACTTTCAAGGATACGCTTACGAGTATGACTTTTGATGCCTCAAGCATATCGCGATCCCTTTTCGACGGAAGAGGATAGAGAAGGGAGACAAGTAAATGCATCTCTTTTTATGAAACCTATTTGAACTCGTTGTTTATATATAAAAAAAAACAATCATGATGCCGGAATAAGCAAATTACAAAGCCCTATACCCTAAACTATTTGAATCAACACAAAGATCGGACAAAGTTCTCGACAAAGAAACGAATTCTATTTACTATAAGTCTCTAAGGAATTCCTAACATTCCGCTAGTAAAAGCTACGCAGTCTTAAGGAAAGAGCTTAATGCTCGATTGGCCGTAATTTAAAGGCCATTATATGTGATATAAAAATGTAACGTGAGGATTCTATTTACTGACCGCAATTTATAACAATGTGTTAAGATCACGAATGATCACATACTTGAGTTTTGCTTGGGACTCTGACTAGACTACTAGACTACTAGACTGTGGGATGATCAACAAACTAATAATTACGTTTCCGACACTCCTTTAACCTTTATTTACAAATTTTTGTTGTTTCAGTTTTCAAAGAGCTTACGAAATCACGTAAGAATGACACATTTTCACTCTTTTTAACTTGTTTTTAAGTAATGTACATTTAAACCGAGCAGAAAGAGAACCCATACTTAATGTCGAATCTTACAGCTTACCGTTATTCAATATATACATATTACTATTAACATAGTGCTTTTCCAGTGTCTGAGTGTTTAGATGTATATAATGTATTTATTTACAAATTCAAAGTATGTTTATTAGTTTTCTAGTACCCATAGCACAGTAGTTTGGTACCAGAGAACGTTGTGTAAACAAAAAGAAAATAAGGGAAGAGAAGAAAAATAGAGCAATGTAGAATAAATAAACAATAAATAACTAAACACAGAGAAAATATTATTTATTTACCTATTACACGAATATTATTTTCTTTCCGTATTATGTTTTATTTTGGTCAATTCGTGATTTTTTTACGTTTAACTTTGTAAAAATATAAGAAAATAAACCAGGAGGAGGAAAAGAAGATTAGTATTTAAATAGTTTCTCTTGGATGAAATAGATATTTTAATATTTATATATTCTTTATGTCTGCCAGTCTGCGGGCCTTTTGGCAGCCTTCCATGATTTTACACTTCAAACAATTAAACTATGGGATATTAATTTTAAAACGTTTAGACGAACGGGGGTAAACTAATGTAATAAATTTCTTTGTTTTTTGTTTTCCATCGGTTTCAGAAACCGGGCGTTAGTATATCTAATACCTCTTTTTTTAATATGGCGTATAATAGCAGATTTCTTTAGGGAAAAGTTTGTTTTTTTTTCCTCAAAAACTATAAGCGACCGCCCAATTCTGCTTGTTCGTTATTTCATTAGTGATTTTTCTTTACCGAATGCTAATGGAAAAATTTACCCAGATAACTGGTGTTAAGTAAAAATTTATGCTTCTGCATTTCTTCTGGTGAGTGAGGTAACAGGGCCTAACGTTATTAAATTTGCAATACATTTGGAAACCTTCGGGTGCATTTGGAAACCATGGAAAGCGGTTATCACTTACTTCAGCTGAACCATAAGCTCGGTTACCACCTTCATAAAATAAACT